GCCCGTGGGCCATGGCCGCTGAGCCTGCGCGTCCGGAGCCTGTGCTCCACAACGGGAGAGACCACAACAGTGAGAGGCCCGCGTACCAGAAAAAAAAAAAAATCTCACTTCTGGAGAATGAACAATGAGTGTGAAAGCCCAACCCCAATTCCAACTCTAGAGAACTAAAAAGGTGAAGAATATGCCTTCAGCAGGTGATGGAGCAGAACGGTGCAAGGTTCTGCCCACCTGACACTGTTTTATCAATATCAGCTTTTAAACGTGACCAAGAATGTTTTTTTTTTTTTAAATGGGTGATGAGTTTGTGGGGAGATGAGCGACTCCAATATGAGTCTAATCCATACAATATTTCTGAGGGCAATTAAGTGATACATATCAGATGCTTTAAAAGATAGGAAAAAATTACAGGTGGTCACTAGGATTTAGTTATAAGGATACTCATCATGGAGTCATTTATGATATAGATATTTAAAAATCAGAAACAACATAAGTGGACACCAGTTGGTTAAATAAATTGTGGCACATCCATAAAATGGAATGCTCCACTGATATTAAGAATAATATGTTGTTGAAATATATTTAATGCCATCAAGAGATGTTAATGATATAATGTTAAATTTAAAAAAAGCAAGTTAGGAAATAAAGTATAATCCCATTTTTGGTAAAAATTTGGTGTGTGTGTGTGTGTGTGTGTGTGCACATAGGAAGGCCTGCATGAACTGAAAAGACTTAGATGGATATAATACAAGAACAGAATAACAGCAGTGGTTTTCTCTGAGTAGTAGGATTATGACAAGTTATGTCATACTTTGTGCCTATCTATAATCTCTAAAGTTTCTACAAGGAACATGCATTGTTTGTATAATAAAACTAATAACATTTTTCTTTTTTTAAGGAAGAGAAAGGTGGCCCAGGAAGGACCCTTATGAACAAAGTCAGGTGAGATCTCCCCAAATCCTTTCTGATGGGAAGCACCTTGGACCTTTCTCTTTCCTGGGAGTGGCCAGTGAAGTCATGCCGTGTCTATGTGTTCATCCAGAGGAAGTGGGCGAATTAACACCACTAAAAGGACAATAGAAAACAAAATGAAAATGGCTTTATGTTTTTACCCATGAGTGACACTTATTCGATACGTATTCTCCCACCACTGCTACCAGGGGTCTCTGCACACTCCTCTCTCCTCTGAGGAATTACAGTGGTCTGGAGTAGAGAAGGAGCCCCTGCAGTCTATCCCCAACAAGCCAAGCTTGTCCTTTTAGAATGTCACTTAGATCTCGTTGCTCTTATGCTCAGAACTTCCAGTGTTCGCCCATTTCTCTCAGAGCAAAATCCAAAGTTGATGCTTGCAATGCCCTGTGGCATCAACCCTGCTACCTTCACACTCACATACTATTCTCCCCCTTACATTCTGGGCTCTAGCCACACTGGCTTCTTTGTGCTTCTTCACACATACCGTGTACACTCTTGCCTCAGGGCCTTTGCACTCACAGACATTCCTGCCCATTTCCTCAGCTATCCATGTGGCCGTCACCTCAAAGCTGCCTTCTCAGTGGCACTTTCCCCATCTGTACAAACAACAATATCCCCACCTCCAGCGTGCCTTATCCTCTTTACTCTGCTTTATTTTCCTCTCCAACTCACTTAGCGCCGACTTACATACTATCCATTTCACTTGTTGTGGTCTGTCTTCTGCTGCTCGGATGTGAGTTCCTTGAGAGCAGAGATTGTGTTTCTGTCACTGCTCTACGGCAGGGCCCAGGGCAGTGCCAAGTGCATAGCAGGGAGTTGACAGGGACTTGCTGAACGGACACATGAGTATAAAGATATTTGCCATGTACTGGGCACTGCAGGCTCTGCACTAAGATCTTCACTTGCACTGTTTCATTTTATTCTTACGATTACCCCATGAAATCATTCTGTCTGTCTTTCTATGAAGTCATTTAAATGGTCATCCTCCCTATTTCGTATAGGATGAAACAGGCTCAGAGAGAAGGTAATGAAAGTAATCTGTCCAAGGTCACAGAATAAGTGGCAGAGCTGGAGTTTGAACCTGAGCATTCTGATGTCAGAATCTCCCCGTGTGTCCCTGGGTCAGCAGCATTGGCATTACCTGGGAGCCTGTTAGAAATGCAGAGTCTCAGGCTATATGCCAGGCCTACTGAATCAGGACCTGCATTTTAACAAGACTTCTCAGGTGACTCCAGTGTCCATTGTAGTCTGAGAAGCCGTGCTCTATGCTGGGCCAGCAGGTGTATGGAAGATAGGGGGCTTCATTGAGCAAGGGGCTGCCACAGTTTGGGTTAGTGGCCTTGGGTTCTTTACCCCTGTGGATGGTTCTCCTGCCCGCTACCCCTCGACCCAGGAGCTCTTTAGTATCTGCCGGCCTTTGGGGGGAACCAAGGTTCGTGATGAGGAGGGAAAAGTCAATGCCAACCTCTGTCCAGGAGCCAGTCCTGCTGTGGGCACTGTTGCTTCCCTTTCTTGGAGGAAGGTCTCTCAGCTCACTCAGGGAAAACCAGACCTGTGCCTCTTAAAAGCATGTGAGAGAACCCATTGGCATCAGAGATGCAGCACTGAGCCTGAAGCAGAAGCTAGCTCCACCTGACACTTAGGCACTCGGGCCAGGGAGGTTGTTAAAACAGAAACAAAACCTACTGTTATGGCTTCCCTGGTGGTGCAGTGGTTGAGAGTCCGCCTGCCGATGCAGGGGACACAGGTTCGTGCCCCGGTCTGGGAAGATCCCACATGCCGCGGAGCGGCTGGGCCTGTGAGCCATGGCCGCCGGGCCTGTGCGGCCGGAGCCTGTGCTTCGCAATGGGAGAGGCCCGCGTACCACACACACACAAAAAAAACCCCTACTGTCAATTAAATTATGAATGCCTGGGAGCCCACCCTGACATCTATTTTTATCACTGAGCGCCACCTTCAGTTTTGACATTCATGAAGAGTGGGCATCGAATAAAACCAGAAACCCACCCTTCCAGCCTCTCCCAAGCCCATTCAAAACAAGAGTAAACATAAATGTAAACCCAAGTACGTAAAAACCGACTATGGAAACGGACCAGCAGAGGGCACTGTGACACCATCAGTCCCTGCCCCACTGACCTCTCCAGAAGGAAAAGCTGCAAAGACACAAGGAAGGAAATCACACAAGATTAGGGGTCTGGGTCCTGGGTCCCACCCCGGCTTCATCTTTGGAATCTTGTGGGAGCCCAGGACACCTGACACCTCTGATCTGTGCCCACCGGCAAGCCAGGGGTCACCCACATAGGGATCAGTTCCAAAAGGCCACCGCCCAGTCTGGCATTTGGGATTCACAATGAAGTGACTTTCCTTTGCTCCCTTCTTTACTTAACCAGCATTGGTCGAGCACCTGCTGAGCCAGGCACAGGGCTAGACCATGCAATTTGCCCAAAAAGTGGTGCCATAACAATAGTTAGATTCTAAGGCTAGCCCCCTAAAGACTTTCAAATCTTTAATATGGAGAAGATAGAACTAATGAGATTATTTTCTGCTCTAGGGTCAGAGGAAAGAAATCGGGGAAGGGCAGTGTGGAGGAGAGGAAAGAAAGTGTGGGGAGAGCGAGGGGGCCCCGGTTTGTCTTCCAACCCCTGCCCGGTGCGCATAAAATATAGAACCTTAAAAAGTTTGTTTTGACTTCCTCCCGTTTCCCTTTCTAGACCCTGACTTGGGACTTAGCCTCTCCAGAGTCTCAGACTGCATGGGGCACTCCCAGAGCCCCCTGCCCGTCGTGGAGGCCATGCTCCAGAGTTTTCTACCCCTCCACTCCCCGTCCACACCCCCAGGCCTGCAGCTGCCCTTCTCAGCTCCGTGTTGGCAGCTGAGTAATCCATTAAGCTAACACACCCTGATATATGGTAGATTGATCCTCCCAGGGACATGTGTATCTTTTCAAGATTACCCAAATTCACCTCTGAGTGGTAGATTTCCAGACAGTGGGCTGGAGGGACGTGACCATTTCAGGCTGTTTGTGTCGGGGGTGGTATTTTGAGGGAAAGACCAGAGCACCTGCCAAGGGGTGTCTCACACAGTCTCTCAGAGGAGCTGGCAGGAGTGTCTTCCAGGGTGGGGGTGGGTGCTAGTATGGAAAGGTCATTGGCAATAAAGGATTTGCAGGTCAGAGATTAATCTCTCTGAGCAGTTTTGAGTGCGTGTGCGTGTGTGTGTGTGCGCGTGTGTGTGTGTGTGTGTGTGTGTGTGCGTGTGTGTGTGTGATTCCCTGTGTGTGCTGGGATAAGGCCAGAGGGAGAAGGCCAGTTTAGGGGAAAAGGATGGACTGCAGGGCTGGACGCAGGAGAACCACTGAGGTAGGAGAAAGGGCCTCCCGAGGCCGGGGCCTCACTGTGGCAGCACCAGGCCTGCCTCTGCAAGGGCCACCTCCCGGGAGCACCGCTTGGCCGAGCACACTCTGCAGATTCTGGCCGCAGAACAGAAGGCTGTGCTGCCCGCTGCCCTGCACGGTTCCCTGATGTCCAGAGACCTGCTCAGAAAGTCCGGCCTCGGCGGCTATGGGCGGGCTGGAGTCGAAGGGCTGGGTCTTTCCTAAAGGGCCTGCTGGTGGGAGGTAAGGGGACACTAAAGGGGCAGGGAGGATGGTGACAGGATCGTTGCAAAGGCAGACTCCTCCATCGCAGCCATGGACCACACAGCAGCCTTAACCAGGGTGCTTCCGGCTGAAGTTGTCCTTCAGAATGAATCTTGGGCATCAGACACATTGCTTCCTCACTTCAGCTGCTCCCGAGGCTCCCGGAGGATCCCAAACCTGCCACTTGTTATTCCTCTGAAAGGGTCCACTGGCTGTGCAGGAAGTGAGGTGAGGAGGGAGGAAACCTCTTTGCTCACCAGGCCTTGGTACAACAGGAAAAGCTGCGTACCTGTCCACATGGAAGGATTTAAAGCTGGATTTAAAGCCCTGCCTGGTTCGTTGTGGAAATGTTTCCCCAGTTCTACCTCTCAAAGTCCCAGCCATCAATGATGACAGAGGTCAAACTAGAGATTCAGTCAGGGGAGGGTTCTAGAGTGCTGATAACATCCTATTTCTTAATCTGGGTGGTGGCGATATGGGGGTGTGCTATGTATAAAAATTTATGCATCAAACTGCAGATGTTAGATGGTGCAGCTGCTTTGGAAGACAGTTTGGCAGTTCCTCAAAAATTTAATGGAGTTACCATTATGACCCAGCAGTTCCACTCCTAGGTATACACCCCAAAGAATCGAAAATATATGCCACACAGAAGACGTGTGCGTGAGTGTTTATAGCAGCATTATTCATAACAGCTAAAAGGGAGAAATAACCCAAATGTCTATCAGCTGGTGATGAATGACAAACAAAATGTGACCCATCCATACCATGGTATATTACTCAACCATAAAAAGGAATGATGTACTGATACATGCTACAGCATGAATGGTCCTTGAAAACATTATGCTTAGTGAAAGAAGCCAGTCACAAAAGACTATATATATAATAGTATGATTTTATTAATATGAAAAGTCCAGAACAGGCAAATCCACCGAGATAGAAAATATTGCAGATTAGTTATTGCTGGGGTCTGGGGGAGGGGGAAGTGGAGAATGAGTGCTAATGGATATGGGATTTCTTTGGGGGTATGATGGGAATGTTCTGGAATTAGTTAGTGGCAATGGTTATACAACTCTGTGACTGTATGAAAGATGACTGAAGTGTATACTTTAAAGGGGAGAATTTTATGGTGTGTGAATTTTATCTCAAAACCTGGATCAAGCGGTACACTTATGATTTGTTCCCTTTGATCTGTGAATGTTATACCTTAATAATAATTTTTTTTAATTTAAAAGTGAAGATGCCACTTCTCTGTTGCTATGGCTCCTGATTTTTTAAAAAAGTCACAGCAAAAATGCCACCTCCTCTATGATGGCTCCCTCACCCCTGCTCTGAGCTCCTTTAGCATTTAGTGCTGATACCCCGCTTACTGCTTATTGCTTGTAGAGCCTGGCCACTCAGAGTGCAGCCGTGGACAAGCATCCCTGTATCCCTTGGAGGCTTTTTAGATGTGCAACATTTCATGCCCTGCGGGCCTGCTAAATCAGACTCTGCCTTTCAACAAGATCGCCAGGTAATTCACATACACATTAAGGTTTGAGAAACACTGCTCTAGAACAGGGGTCCCCAACACCCCGCCCCGGCAGTGGAAAAATTGTCTCCCATGAAACTGGTCCCTGGTGCCAAAAAGGTTGGTGACCGCTGGTCTAGAAGGCTTCCCTCACTTGCCTCCCCCTCTACCTGCTGCCTACACCTTATGACTGTCTTTGTCTCTCCCCACCTAGTGAGCATCAGCATTTGTGGATTCAGTGCTAGTGGCCTCAGAACTAAAGCCAGTACCTACTCTAACTCTAAGACCAGGATAGAGAAACTGAAATCTGGGGACACTTTGGTCAGATAAAAGAATATGTCAACTTTGCATGTCCAAAGTGAGGTCTCCAAATACCATTTCCCACCGAAAGGCATTAGAGCTTTGGGAGAAATGGCTGATTCTAGGTCTAAGCAGAAAATGTACAAGTCTTCTCAAGTCATGTTTAAAAGATTCAGGAACCAACTGGAAGAGACTCCCGCTGATCAAAATGGGGCCACTTGAGCGTCAGTAAGAATATTTACTGCAACGAATTGAAACACATCAAATGTGTTAAAAATCCATGAATTCATAGTAATACTAAAAACTAAACTAAACTCTGATGGTAAGAAAGCAATTCATTGTTTTGAAAATGGTAAATAAAGGGAGGAAATCAAGCAATTATCCTGGATGTCAAACAGTAGATAAATAGTAATATCTGATTCTATTATTCCTCCTTTATTTATAAGTAGGAATACTTCTATGAAGGAGAAAATGATAGAATCAGATGTGACTATTTTGAAAGAGTGATATTTCAAAAGATTCAGGCATTGACCACCTGCAGCATCTAATATCACGGAGACAAACAGACATCATGTGCCTCCTGTTGGAAGAATATCCCACCACTGAAACCAAACCTGAATATGATTAAGCTCTAGATCCAAGTACCAATTTACAGGAAAAATAAGGACAGAGATCCTGTAAAATTACACCATTGGAAGGTTATCAGCAAAATCTAGATTGTGGACAAATCTACAGAATAAAAAACCCAGTGTCTTCAAGAAACAAATTGAGAGGAAAAAAAAAAGACAGGAGTAACCTATAGATTAAAACAAAAGTTATAGCAGCCAATTTCAACAAGTGAACCTTATTTAAACCCTGATTCAAACTGTTTTTCTAAAAATCCATTTTGAGACAATTGGGGAATTCGAACACCAGGAATTACTGGTTATGATACAAAAAGAGTTCTTTCTGAGTGATTTACTAAGACTTTTACAGATGAAATAGTATGACATCTGGGATTTGCTTCAGAATAATAGAAGATGGGCTAAATTGTTGAGAGTGGGGGGGATGGGGCCAGTTTGGACGTTGCTGGGGTTTGATGGGTGTGTGATAGCTCATCATAGCATTCTGTCTACTTTGTTGTATGTTCAAAAGTCTCGAAAATTAAAAAGCTAAGACAGACAAACAAAAGATTTATAACAAAGTGTTGATGTAAGAAAAACATATAAGCAAAACAAAACAGAGTGTAGGTAAAGGATCCATAACTGTCTAAGAACAATAAGATGACGTTTCTTGTTTCCTCCTCAACCTACTTTCCCATGACTAGATTTTTTGTAACGTAATAATTTGCCTTCAGAAGCGTTCTATAGAATGAGACTCTCAACTCACAGTCCAGAGAATGAAGCAGAAACATAAACGTTTTGAAAACTGAAGGAGAAAGAATTGGATATAGAGACAATTATGGGGGACTTCCCTGACGGTCCAGTGGTTAAGACTCTGCGCTTCCACTGCAGGGGGCGCGGGTTCGATCCCTGGTTGGGGAACTAGGATCCCACATGCCGTGCTGTGCGGCCAAAAAAAGAATTATGGGTCAGAAATGAGCATAGCTCAGTTCACACCAGAGGCCCACCAGCCAAGGGCATGGGCCAGGCTGCAGATGTGGTCACGGCCGTGTTAGGGGTGGAAATAGTATGTCAGTTTAGCATCCTTCTCCCCAACAGAATCAAATGTTAGAGTCATGGTTTCAAACCTGGCTGCACATTCGAATCACCTGGAAAGCTCTGGAAACACACAGATGCACAGGATTCCACCCTGGCCCCATTAAATCTCTGCAGGAGGCCCGAGGCTTCAGTGAGTGCCAGAGCTCCCCCAGGTGACTGATCCTGACATGCAGCCAGAGTGAAAGGATTTTAGCCAGCCTGTCCACATTTAAATAGCTGGATAAACCTGCTGGGAAATGATGGCAGTCACTGCCGGATAAATGACAAAGCGAGTTGGTAAGTGAAACACCGGGTGTCAACCTCATTCTGTTTTCTTTGAGTCACTTGAGGTCATTTGGAGCCACTGTGTCCAACCTGAGTCACTTTTCTCTGGTTCTTTGGGGTGTGGCTGAGATCCAAGGAGGCCAAAGGTTGGCTCCTGTGGGCTTGGCTGTGGGCTCCCGGGGCTCCAGGTTTTGGTGGCACGTGGCAGGTACCAAGGGTAAAGAGCTGGCCAGCAGAAGTCATGGTCTGGATCAAGCTGGGGAAGGAAAGGTTTGGGGTCCACAAGGATGTCCTCCTGCTCTGTGCTGGGCTGTGAGTCAACCCCAGGAACACCCAGCGGCCAGGCCAGCAGCGCCAAGCCCAGATTCCATCTCCACGGCAACGAAATCCCTCCCTGGGGATCTGGGTCTGGCGCTGAATGGTGACCTTCATCGGTGCCACCTAGAAAGTTCATTTAGCTAACTGACAGGGAACAGAGAGATTTAAAGTCAATGTGGGAGGGAGGCCCACGAGGGAGGGGATATATGTATACTTACAGCTGATTCACTTTGTTGTACACCAGAAACTAACACAACATTGTAGAGCAATTATACGCCAATTAAAAAAATATGGAACGAAAAAATGAAGTCAATGTGAAGCCACTGATCCCTGGCAGCTGAGGAAGGCAGTTTCTAAGCAATCGTGGCACATTATGGGAAAATGTGATTCGAGTTTCCAAACTTCCATTCCCAGGTATCCACCGTGGCGCAGAGCAAGGCCCAAGCCCCACCCCCATGCAGGGGTTGAGACTCAGCTGGTCACCTACCACACCTCCTTCTGCTCTGCCTCATTCCACTCTGGGTGTGATCCACCCTTTGACCTTCCCCTTGCCTCAGCCCCACCCGTGTGTACCTGCTCTGACCACTGGCTGGCTCAGCCTTGCTCACGGCTCCTAGCCCTGGAGTTCTTCCGGCTTGGCCTCTCTCAAGAGCTTCCCTTCTCAGGCCAGTCCCACTCGCTATGTCCTGGCCTTCCTGGGACCTTCCCCTCTTTGGCCCTGGCCCAAGAGGTCCTGGCATCACTTACCTGCCCCCAGGTAACAATAAGACAGGAATCTATATCCCATCAACTGGGCGAGGATAAGTTTAAGACTCTCAAGGATCTTCAAGCGAGACATCCTTGGGTCCATATGAGCCTGGAGGAAGGCAGTG